GGGGAGCCCGGCCCGGCGGGGCGGCAGGTGAGGTGGGGCCCGGTGGGGCCCGGTGGGGCAGCGGCCCCGTCCCCGCGTCCTTCATTGTTTTTATCGATCACATCTAAATAGGATTGTCCGTTGTGCCCTCAGTTGTAGTCTGATCCTTGGTAGGTATCGGCGTGTTTCGAATTACAGTCTTTAAGGTTTGGGTCCCTTTAACGTAGTTTAAAGAAACTGTCTTCATGTTTTTAAGCAACTGCATCAGGTATTTTTCAAGTGACTTGTTTTTTGTCAGACAAGGAAATAAATAATTCGATAAGAGCGTTAAAGCTTGGCTCTACATTTGCATGAGAATTGTGGTCCAAGTGCTAATTCTGCATCTCAGAATAGCTTCATGGAAGCTCCTGCAGTTTGCTGAATATTCACGGCAACCGCATTAAAGTGCGCTTTATACAAACACGGTTTGGTTCTTGTTGTGTGTTTCAAGCATTCTCTGCACCACAGCATTCTCTACCTGGTCACATCCTGCCTCTAAGATCCATTCTGTCCCAGAAACTGTCCCTGAAATCAGAAATACCTGATTTCTGACACCCAATTCGAACTGTAAACAATGTAGTTTCCTAAACCTGTGTCTCCAAATGGTTCAGTCTTTCAGATTTTGACAGTGACTGATTATTATTTGAATATTGAACATATGTGGTTGTTAAAAAATTTAATATACAAGTTCTAATATTTCTGTTATAAATAATTTGAAACAGTTCAACTTATTTGAAATGTGATTCACTATAACAAATGTTCAGTGTTTTTTCAGTATACATTTGATAATTTGAAACAGTTCAACTTATTTGAAATGTTCAGTGTTTTTTCAGTATATATTTGGTTCTTCTTGTTCACGGCTATTTCAGACCAGTAGAGGTTAAGATCTATTTGCTGTTGACTTAAATGTTCTTGATACAATTCCACATTTCATTTTTACAGCCGTGCCCTGCACTTCTCTTCCAGCAGCGATGAAGAATTTGAAATGTGTAAGTAACAGCACACGCTAGTTTGCTTTCTGAAGGGGTATGAAAAGGATGTATTTTTATCTAGTTACAGTGAAGTAGTTTTTATGTGTGATTTTCTTCCATTGCTTCTGCTGCAAAGCACGTTTTCTGCTCGCAGTGCAGTGTTGGTTGCTATGTGCCACAGTGGATGTTCTTGAATCTTGTGGCTTAATCTTTGATGCTTTTTGCCTTGCATTATTTTTTCTTGTTGCCTCAGTTTTGTCTGTTCCCTGTCACTCACTTGCTTCCTTCTTAGTCTATGGAGCATTTTCTAAACATTTTCTCGAAGCAGTTGCTGTTCCATATGCATGTCTAAACTACTCAGAATTCCCTCTTAGGTGTCACAGCTTTTGCTGCACGTGTCTTTTCATAGTGGCTCAAGGTCTTGGTAAGATGGAACTAAATACTGAATTTTACATGGTAGCTTCTGCTGTGCATAACTTCCTATCTTTACATTTAGCCTGTACATACAAAACCTGGTAATGGTATTTTTCTTTTTGGTAATAGTCATTCTGTCATTTTGTGCTGGGGTAAGTTGAGTACACACTCTTGTTTTTCCTGTTGCAAGAGTTCTATTTAGCTCGTTCCTTAGATGAACTAATCATGGCTCTACCACATCTCAAGTGGGTTTCAGACTGGTAAGTAACTTAAAGGTTTTTAAATCTTGCAATATATTCCTCCTTACATATTCAACATTTGAACAGAGATGGTAGAAATGGTAAGGTAACAAGTTGTAGCTGCTTATTTTGCCTTTTGCATATCACTCTGCTGCTTTTAAACCAGGTTTCTCTTTACTTTAGAGTTCATGCTGTGCTCCGGTTCTGTGCCATGTCAATGGTCATGAGCATTGTCAAACCTTACTCCTTCTGTCTAGTTCAATTCAAATGTGCCATGTGTAATTCCTGCACTACCTCTGGGCTTTTAAATCCAATAAGTATTTCAATGCTGTCCATTCATTAGGTCATTGTTCACTTCCCTGTAATTTTTTAAACTTAGATTTTCAGCAGTCTGCTCTCTTTTTCTACTCTTTTCTTGCCTCCTTCATCCAGGAGGCTGTTGAGGCCAAAGTCATGTGTCAGCTCTGGCACGGAAGGTAGTCACCACGATATTCCTGGAGTGATTAAAATGCATTTATTTGAGAAGTAATATTGAATTGCTGTTCTGCAGTGGGGTATTATTGTTGCCATTTTGTTTGAACATTTCTTTTTGGAGTCACTTAGTGGAATAAGGATATGTACACCTCCTTGCAATAGGAAGACTGCTCCACAGTCACTGAAATGCTTGGAAAAAATACTGATAAATCCATTCAATTCAACTCCTGTTGATCTACATATATGAGCAGGCTATATCAGATACTGCAAGATATGTAACAGCACTTCTTTCTGGCTTTGTGCTGGGCAAGGATTGAATAATGAATGAAATTCTAGATAGCTGCTGTCAGCTTTGAGGCACTGGGAGTTGGAGTTGTATGTAAAGGATTCTTATGCTTGGGTTTTTTAAAGAGTTTAGACTGAATTTTTACTAGTTGCAAACTTTTCTCTTAAAAAATGCATAACAGAAGAAACAGAACCTTGTTCTTTTATTAATCTTTTATTGTTTCAGTTTTAGCTAGAATGAAGACTCCCAAATCTGTTTCTAAAAAGGCAGATGCAAGGTGGGTGCTGTAATTAATGTCTCTTCAATGGTTATCTATTAGTTTTCTGTATCAAATCTATTTGCAATACAGAAAAGTGATCAAAAGTTTGTGATTCATTCATTCATTCATATGTATTTGGTAGTGCAGACAGAACTGTTGTGTGTTCAATCTGTATGTTCAGGTCAAATGTAAAATGGGATGTTTGGGGGTGTACATGCTCTGTTACCATTCCTGTTAATCAACATCTTTGGTAACATTTGCTGTCAGCAACTGATAATGTTATATTGGGTGGGGTGTCTTTGTTTGCTTTTTTAGTAAGGCAGACTTACTCATGTTTTCCTTCTTGTACCTACCTCCTTTCACATTATTTTCTTGTTTTACAGTTTGAAGGACTTCATTGATGACTCAGATGATTTCTTCTTGGACTTTAAAGTGACAAAGAGCACAACAAAGAAGGGCAAGTAATTGTCCAACAGCAAATACGAAGCAGGAATTTTAAGGGGTAGAAATATAGCACTTATTGCTGAGCACATAATTTTTGGAGAGAACTTGTTAAACATAAGATCACTTTATCTCTTCTTTGAGGGTAACAGAGGAGAGGCTTTTCTGTTTCTTCTGGAGTAAGAGAGGAAAACACGGTCATGCTGTTATGACCAGTGTACACTTTGAAGCATTGCTGTAGGTCTGCAGATACTGTGAACTACTTGCTAGTATTTGGGTCAGTGAAAAGGGTGCTTTTGAGGTCTGTGTAAGATGATCACATCATCTTACATGCATGTAGCTCTTGTTACTGGGAAGCTTATGCCAGTGCTAGCTGCCTGTTCAGGATTGTTAGGCCTGATGGCTGGTGTAGACATATGTGGGGCTTAAGGTACTTTTTTTTAATACATCTTTTAGGCACTCTCCATTTAGTAAGATAGTAAATGAGCAGGGTGTTATAAAATGCAAAATTCTCTTTCTATTCTTTGTGTTTTCCTATCTTTCAAGGGATTTATTTTGTGTTAAGACAAAGGCAGGTCTTCTAAATGAAATTACCAAAACTTTGGGCTGTTTCTTTTGAATTGCAGCACAGAAAGATCTTCAGACTGTGAAGAAGTTGATGAGTTCTGGAAAGAAAAATACTTGCTGCCAAGAATTGGAGTATTCAGAGGCTTCAAGTGACACTGAAGATTCTGTCTTTGTAGAAAATTCATGGCATGACTCCCAAAAATGGGGAGTGAAAAACTTGAGAGAGAGTCGGACATGCACCAAACTCCCAACTTCACAAAATCTGAAAGACTCAATTTCCAGAGGCAGTCCAGACTTGCTTGTTAGGAGGACAGAAAGAAGCTGTGACAAGAGTACAGAAAATAAAGTGCCAACTGTGGGACTACGGCAAAGTAGGGATGTAGAATCAGATAGCTCAGATGATGAATTTGAATCTTTAATAGAACGGATAAAGAAACAAAGCACACCCAGAAAACCAGTCTTAGGCACAAGTAAAACTGTCTACCAGCCGAGCACAACAGGTAAGTGATTGTTCAAGCAGTTGTTCTGAGCAAACTCACAAGCTGCCTCTCGGTGGCAGTGGTGGTGCTGACTGCCTCGTTCTTTCATTTGTGTGGTGGGTGCTTTAGAATCCAACCCAGCATCTTGCAATTGAATTTGATGCAATCGGAAGCAATTCCTCTGAGCATTTGGAAAAGTGATTCTGCTAGTCTTGTGGCATCAAGATTTAAGTTTTTCACTGTTGCTTGTTTTTATAATTGTAGACTTTTTTTGTATTTTAAAGTTGTTCTGAAAACAAATTAAGTGGTGGTTTTGAATGATGTTAACTAACTTTAGCAGTTAATGTGAAGCTGTCATTTTGGGAAGGTGGACATTTTGAGCAGCTTAGACGCTGTTAATTTAGTATTTGGATTTATAACTTACTCTATTTAAAATACAGTTTATAAAGAGAATTTTATAGATCAGTAGCTCCTCTCCTTTGACTAACTGAAGTGAGCTCCAACTGAAAGATTGCAAAGGGAGAAAAGGGCTGTTGCTGAGTAAGAGCAGGTGAAAACAAAGTTCTTTCTAGAAGAGTAAGCACAGGGTGCCTTCCTCACTAACAAGAACTAGTTCAGGGCAAGGAGATCTATGGAAGAGGATGGCTGACAGCATAGAAATATGCTCTGGGATAGAGCAAATTCTGTTGTGTGTTGTTTTTCTTTTAATTGGAATACGTCAACATGGTCTAGAAAACATATTCTAGAAGTGAGCTGGCATCTACATTGGCTTCTCTGTGTATGGTTTGATAGTGAAAGGAGACAAGTGGCCCAAATAGGGAACAGTTAAAGAAAAGCCAGCAGAGAGAACATCAGCTGCAAACCTTGAAGCAGTCCTTGATTTCTGGTGCAAGGGTCAGTTATTTTAGCAATCTGTGCAGACATGGACTGGGGAAATTGTGTTCAAATGGTGTCTCTGCATTACTGCTCCCCATGTGCTGGAGATGTATTTTGAACTGGTGAAATGTCACAGAAATGCCCAAGAGAGGTCACAAAAGCTTTTTCCTCCACTTCCTCCTAGCTGCATGTTTGAAAGTTTGGAGTCTGCCACTCTGTTGAATGGCAATTTTTGTTGTATATTAGAGCAGATTACCTTTCCATCAGCTCTAAAATCCTTTGCATTGAATTGTGCACAGGATGAGCGTGTATGCTGAGGTGGAATATTTGACTTTTTTCACTGTTGTGTGTTACCTGGTCACTGATGTCTGTGCTCCTGATTCTTTGACAGTGTGTAATCCTGTGACTCTTTCTGTTGAACTAGAAAACATCAAGCCACCCTGTGAAAATGCCCAGCCTTTGAAAGGGGAAGGAGTCAAGACACCAAGGCCAAACTCCATTTCACTTCAAGAAACACCTTCCAGGACAATGACTTCTGCAAGAATTCCTGGGAATGAATTGGTCAGTTGCTCACAATCGGCAAAGACAGAGAAAAGGTAAGTGTTTCTCCATCTTTCCTACGTTCTAGGACCCTTATAGATGGACAGAGACATGCTAAGCATTTTGTCTAGGATGATGTTCTGATTTTTCTGGTACCTAGAAACTTCTGCTACCAATCCCACAGTTGTTAACGGTTAAGTAGCTGGAAATCAAAGCTTTCAGTCTCAGGTAAGATAGGGAGAATATAAACTAATCTCTGCTTAGAGGAACTGATGACAAATTAATCTGACAAATGGCAAATCTTTTTTGTAAATGTTAGCTCTTGCCTTGGCACAGCATACTTCTAACATGTGCTGGCCCTGCAGATTCTATCTATCCAGCTGCCTGCCTCTCAAAATTTATTAACTGATTCTATTAGTAATTCTTGCCTTGTAACAAGCTTGTCTTGATATTTTTGACCTGTATCCTTATAACTTGCAGAATTCGTGTTTCTTTTTCTATATGTGGATACAGCTTGAGCTTTTCAGAACATCTTTTTCAATAGCTGCCTTTATTCTGCCTTTAGCCATGTGATGTTTTCTCTAGTTATTTTATAATTGTATGTGCCAATACAAAACCTTTAAATGATGTCTTCAAAGTTGATACTTTGTCAGAATGGTGCAGTACTGGAGTTAGTCATCCTAGTGGAATATCTACCTCCCCTGAATGAATTCCTGAGGATTTCCAGGACATCTTTGGCTATGTTTCTGAAAATGTACCTTTTCTGTGGCTGATCATGTTAGGGCTGTTCATGTATTGATCAGGTTTTAGTATAATTGTGATTAACTGTGTCACAAAGATCTGAGCCACCCTCTTTTCCTACTTAGTAGTCCTCATAATCTGTTTTTGTGAATTAATGAAATAACTGCAGGACTACTGCAACAGCTCTGCCCCTTCATGCTCCTGAAAGGGGAAGAAGTGTGTGCCCCACTGGCCTCGTGAGGGCAAGCTAGTGACAAGAGTCAGGAGAGGTTTATGCCAGTGGCAGCATCCCAGAGATCTCTATTGGTTATAAAGTGGCCATTATTTTTCAACATGATATCTGTGCTTCAATAAACTGCTTTATGGCTTTTTTTGCAGGGTCAGGGTGTGCTCGGTCCCTGGTTGTCTCTTGCAAGAGCTCTCAAATCCAGCTTCCCACTATGTGAAGTATTTCAAGAAGAATAAAGAGGAGCTGGCAGAGAAGCTCTACCGTCTGTATAACAGAACCATCTTCGAGCAGAAGGTTGGCTTCAAAATGTAAACTACAATTCTAAAATGCTGGTTAATGTGTGGCTTCTCACTTTTTGATGTGATTGCTCTTTATCCTCTTCAGTTAGTAGAAGTTAAGCTTTATAGCAATGGATTATGTTTGAATTAGTTCAAGCAATTTCTTTGAAAGGGGTTTATCCCCACGGTGATGCAGCAGTTCTCAGCTTGGCTCGCTTTCCCAGCTGTAATGTTGTACCATCATTAAGTGAGCAGTCGAGATGGTGTCCAAGAGTCCTTGATGAGAGAAGCTGCTACATGAGGGGCCTTGAATCAGTTTCATCTTTGAAAAGGTGACTGGTGTTTATCTTCATGTATTTTCTAGTACCTGCATGGTCATCAACTCAGCAGCCTGGCAGTGTTTCTCTTGCTGCCTCTGTGGTAGTAAACCCCACCTCTGGCTCTCTGCTGCTGAAAGAAGCTCAAGGTTGTGTTGCCTTGTAAATGACTATCAGTTGGGAAGAGTACATTTTTAAAGAGCAAATTCTGTTTTACTCCTGACCTGTCCTTGTATTTCCTCTTTAGCAGCATATGTTTGCCACTGTTGGAGGCAGAATAGAGGAACTAAGGGACTTTTTGTCTCATCCTGCATTGTGAAACTCCCAGTGTTGGTCACAGAGGAACTGGTGATGGGAATAAGGAGCCATGGAGGGTGGGTTTGTACCTTAAGTGACAACAGTGTTAAGGGCACCAATAGAAACATTCTCTACTGGCTTTGCAGTAAATGTGAGGGGAAGCCAGAGGACAATAGGAGAGGTAGAAGAGGGCAGATTACATGTACTTTTTTGTTTTTCAGTTACCAGAGAAAATGGTAATAATCTGGAATAAGAAAATGAGAAAAACAGCAGGATATTGTGTAACTGGGCAGACAGAAGGTCCTGAAGCAAAGCGTTATGCTCGGATAGAACTTTCTGAGAAAGTCTGTGACTCTGCAGGTAGGTGAAACAAAAGATGTTGATTCTTCTTTGAGAAAGCAAGTTCTAGAGATTAATCTGAGGCCTGAGAGATCTGGAACTAGACTTTGCTTTGAAATTTCATATTACCTTGAATAAATAAATCCATTAATGGTAGTACTTGTCCTCACAACCCTTCTAGGAGGCTGGGGAAATTAATAAAATATGAGAACAGAGATATATTCATGCTAACTGCAGTACAGCTAGCCGCCTTGTTGGTAGTATTTAAAGCTGGAAGTCTGGCAGGCCAGTGCCAAATTAAGTTATGTGGTGGGTCCTGTAACTTATTTCTCCCTCATTCCCTCCCAATTTGGAGAAGTGAATGTTGCAGTGGGCCCTACAGTTTAAGGATGTGAAGGTCCTTGGATGTGTCCAGAGAAGGGCAACAAAGCTGGTGAAAGGGCTGGAAGGAATGTACAGGAAGAGGAGAGGGAGGTGCTAGTGTCTTCTCCCTGGTACCCATGTGTGGGAGTGGTTCAAAGCTGTGCCAGGAGAGGTCTAGACTGGACGTGAGGAAGCATTTATTTACCAAGAGGGTGGTCAAATGGAGATGGTAGTTAATGCCCCAAGCCTGTCATTGTTTGAGAGGCATTTGGACAATGCTCTTAATGACATGCTTTAATTTTGGCCAGACAGTTGGACTAGATGATCATTGTAGGTCCCTTCCAACTGAAATATTCTATTGTAGTTGTGGGGAAAATCCAGTGCTCCATTCTAGTCATTTCTGGATGAAAAATGTCAATGTTACAAAAGCAATCTGTGAATTTGATCTAAATAAGGTGTTTCAGATCTCATTAAAAAAACAAACAAACAATCAAAAAAACCCAAACAACTGGAAAACCCCACCCCAAACCAGTCAGATTAGATGTGCAGGGAAGTCACTTGAATGCAGAATTGGGGCTAATCACAAAACTGGAAATGCACTGAGTAAAACTTTGTTTTGGGGCATTTTGTCTTATCAAACCGTTGGTAATTCCAAGTGTCAAAGGTCTGAAGTAGTGACTAAGGATGAAAGTCTGTACTTCTCCTTACCTGACTGATCTCATTGTTTGCCTTACCTCAAGATCGCCTTCGAGACACGCTAATTCATGAGGCTTGCCATGCAGCCACCTGGCTGATCAATGGAGTTCGTGATGGACACGGGCGATTCTGGAGATTCTATGCCAATAAATCAGCTGTGATTCATCCAGAACTGCCAGTGGTAACACGATGCCATAGCTATGAGATTAATTACAAATTCATCTACGAGTGTGTTCTGTGCAAAGCTACGTGAGTAATGTTTTGATCCTGCATATGACTCTGTATTAACTTTTGTCTCTAACTTGGCAGTCTCCTGTGTCTAAAAATCATGAGTCTCTTAAACTGTGAAGCAATTGGGATACTCTGAGTTGTTACTTAACACCTCCTGAGCCCCCAGAACCTCACTCTGTGATACTGTGTGTTTGTTTCCAGGTAGTTTCAGTTCCAGTTCAGAGGCCAGGGTAGGCAGAAGTGCATTCCGAGTACCATTGGTGATGATGGAAGTATTTTGGGAAGCAGTATGAGATCAGAAAACGTGCCTCAGCTTTGAAGGACATGGCAGGGAAAGGTCAGGATCATATGTGCTACTTCCAGAAGCACTGTAAGGAAACAGTATTTCACATAGGAAAGAATCTTCCTGAAGTGTTTAATGTGACTGTGCAATGCATTAGTGGCATAGATGCAACAGAGCATTGAGAAGATTTGGTGATGGCTTTGAGGAGAAACTCCAAGGGGTAGTTGATACATGGGTTGTGGAGGTGTTTTGAATTGTTGTAGCACTTCATACTACTAGGCTGAGAGTAAAAGAGACAGAGGAAGGAACCAAGCTGAAAAGCCAGTGGAAAAAGTTCTAGGGTGGAGAAATGTGTAATACAAATCTGATCAATCCACTCTTCTAAAATGCTAGCTTAGAAATCTGACCCAAGGAGCCCGGCAGAAGAGAAAGGAGCCCTTTCCCACACGTACTGTCCACCACAGGTTTAGTCTGGAGAAGAGAAGGCTGAGAGGTGACCTCATCACTCTCTTCAACTACCTGAAGGGAGGTTATAGCCAGGTGGGGGTTGGTCTCTTCTCCCAGGCAACCAACAATAGGACAAGGGGGCATGGGCTCAAGCTCTGCCAGGGGAGGTTTAGGTTAGATGTTAGGAAGAAATTCTTTACAGAAAGGGTAATCAGGCACTGGAACGGCCTGCCCAGAGAGGTGGTGGATTCACCATCCCTGGAGGTTTTTAAAAAGAGATTGGACGTGGCCCTTAGTGCCATGATATAGTAATTGGAGTTGGATCAGGGGTTGGACTTGATGATCTTGGAGGTCTTTTCCAACCCAATCTATTCTATGATTCTATGATTCTATGAAATCCAAGTACTTCTCTTTGCATTTCAGGATCGGCCGTCATTCCAAGTCCCTGGACACAGAGCGCTTCGTGTGTGCGTTCTGCGGGGGGCGGCTGGTCCTGAGTCAGCCCGCTCGGAAGGGTGACACCCCTGCCAGGCCGCCTCTAACGCCCTTTGCAAAGTATGTGAAAGAAAACTACGGACTGGCTAAGAGAGAGCAGCGTGGGCAGAGTCACGCCGAAGTCATGCGGAAACTCAGTGCTGATTTTGCTTTGAAAACTAGGCTTCAAGATTCTCTCTAATATCTCAATACACTTCCTTTCTTGCTTCAATTGCAGCTTAGATTTTGTGTGTGTAGTAAAGCAGTCTAACGTGAGTCTAAGAATGTGTTTCGGAGGACACCAGATAATTTTAATATTTTACTTCTAATAGCGAAGACCTTAAGGCAGTTTCTAAAATGGGCAAGAGTGAATAAAAAGTGATGATGATAGAAAGTCCACAGTGATGCACAAATCAGTCAGGGCATCCTTCTTATGCTTCAGATAAACACCCCCTGTGCCTGGGAAGATGCAGTTCTAGGCTCTTTGTAGGACTGACTTGCGATGTTTGTCTGGAATTTTCTGAATGGTACTTACACTTAGTGCTTCATAGCGTGTCTTCAGTGACTCCAGCGAGCAGTGGGTTTGCTCTTTCATTGGGGTAGCTGATATGCTGTAGGCTACACGTGCTGAGGAACTGCTGGGTCTACCTCTGTCAGGGATTACCAGATTCAAGAAAAATCCAGGCCCCGTGAGCCAAAATCCTCTGATTCTGTTTGGATGATTTTAGGTAGAAGAAGGGGCTGACCTGAGGAAGGCTTCAACGTGAGTTCAGGTGTTCTCCCAAGGAGAGTTCCTTGAGTTGATCCTTAGCTGTTTTATTAAAAGTAAGTGGTAGCAGATGATGCCTCAAATCTGTTAGAGAAGGCAGGAATTTCTGCAAAGCCCTCTGGCCCTTAGTGAGATCAAAACTCTTTCTGATTAAATTTTGGTTGCAGTTGTGTCTATCACTGAGATTTCCTAGAAGCTAAAATAGATGCAAAAGGTCAGGTTGGGGAAATCAAACATTTTTCCACCATAGAATGAAAAGGTCTATTCAGATGACTTAAGTCTTTCATGTGGAACATGACTGAATGTATGTTACAGTGTTTGTGTCTGCTGTGAACAAATTGCTCAGAGGATTAGTAGTTTTGAATAATCAATAAATGCCAATTTTATTTTATAATTTACTGTGGCAATGAACCAGACTTGTTTGTTTCAGTTTAACTGTGGCTGTGAGGTATGGATGGTATGTGAAAGCTTTCTCCTAGATAAGAGCTTCATGTACAGCAGGTCACCCTGCTTGCTGTCAAGAATACCCCTCTACTCCCCACCTCCTGCCCTGCCTTTATCGATCCCATTACACTCCCACTGAAAAAGAAGTATCATCAGCATCTGAAGGAGTTTGAGCTGCTTCAGAAATAATTGGTACTGAAGCACAAGCTCCTCTTGGCATCTCGATGGATGTTCAAAGGGAGTGTCCTCTCTACGCATAGTGCAACCGATGCTATGTTGAGTAAATCTAGATAAGAGCTTCATGTACAGCAGGTCACCCTGCTTGCTGTCAAGAATACCCCTCTACTCCCCACCTCCTGCCCTGCCTTTATCGATCCCATTACACTCCCACTGAAAAAGAAATATCATCAGCATCTGAAGGAGTTTGAGCTGCTTCAGAAATAATTGGTACTGAAGCACAAGCTCCTCTTGGCATCTCGATGGCCTGAGCTGGATGTTCAAAGGGAGTGTCCTCTCTACGCATAGTGCAACTGATGCTATGTTGAGTAAATGGGTTGCACTGGTAACACAACAGGCTTGAATGGGAAACCCCTGACTGCCCAGGAATTTTGGAAATGATCATGGACTGGCCAGTGGCTGAAACTTTGGAGTCTTGTGCTGAAGAGGCCACACTGTCCAGTAAATTACCAGCAAATGAAAAGGGGCAAGTCCTGCTGTATTGTGAGGAACAGGAGGTGGAAGGCTGCTGTGTGGGGTCCTACACCAGTCACTGAAACTGCTGAAGGAAAAGGTGACTCAAGTCAGTTTGCAGAAGGGAAAGAAGTGAAGAATGGTTTGCTCTGTCCATCAGACTGAAGAGCCAATCAACACACTGAGTCGAGATATTTGTCTTTATTGCTGCTCTGCAGAGTAGGGGGCCAGGCCTTTGCCAGCAGCCAGCACACCTCTCGGAAACACACAGGGCCTTTTGTACAAAACTGTGACAAAAAGAAATTCCATGTACATAGTTGATTGGTTCCTTGTACAAAAACTGGTTTGAGCAGGTCCTAATTATTCATTACACTGGGGTGGTCTGACATTTACATACAAAATCTCCACCTAGAGGTGTGGTTTTTAGTATTATAATGATCTAAGGTAACTAAAGTTCATACCTTCATCCTATCAACTGCCACCAAGTTATTATTTAACCTTATATCCTGTTGTGGTTCCTGGCTGAGCCATGGCTGGTTGCAGGGCAGGCATCTGGTGGTCTAAGTTTTAAGGAATTTATATTCTCATTGTCACAGTTTCAGGACAGATCATCTTGGTCGCTTAATTATTTTTTTTTTAACCTTATTATAACTTTTAACCCCATTCTTTACTCTTCTGCCATCAGTACCAGCCCAGCTCTGCTGGCTGGAGAGCCAGGCTGTGGATCAGCACAGAGTAATTAATAACTTGTTGTTTTGTCACTGGGATTCTGATCCAAACATCACCATTCCAGCTGTGCTGTGACTGTGCTCCGAGCAGAGCTCAGCCCTTCTCACAGGCTGCATCCAAAGGCAAATGCAGGATCTCAGCTTTGTCCTGAAGCTCAGACCACGTATGGCAGCAGGGCCATGGGAGACCATTAAGTACTGGCAGTCTGAAAGGACAAAACTTCCTGCTTGGAGAGTGGATAAGGGGTGGTTACACTCAAAACCAAACTAGCTTCTTCCTACTGTCTGTAACATCAAGTGGGAATGGCCTCTAACCTCCCTAGAGAGGGATGGCAATCCACAGATCCTTCTTGAGAGGAGAAATACAAAACAAGGAACAGAACTGCAGGCCCCTGGGCTGCAGGAGAGCTCATTCTGGCTTCATCTGGGATGTGCTTGGCACGATGCCCTGGGAGATTGCACTGGAGTGCCAGGAGGCCCAGGGCTGCTGGGTGATCTCCAAGGAGCTCTCATCAAGGCACCACCCACCCCCCCAGCAAAGGTCAAGGTAAGGAGCACTTGAACTAGAAAACTAACAAAACAGAACAAAGACACTGACTGTTCAAAAACTAAAGAAAAATACTATTCACAGCACTTTTAAGGGGGGAATTAGTGAGCATTTTACTTCAAAGAAGTTCTACTGTTTGGAGTTTTGCTAATAATGCAGAAAGACTGAAAAGTGAAGTCAGAGAAAAACAAGCTGGCTAAGGGCTTCCAGGTCAGGCAGCAATTTACAGCTGCTAATCACCACTGGCTGCTCTGGAAAGGGAGAGCATCTTCATCAGCTACATTACTTTCTTCTCCCAAAGCAAGAGACAAGCTAATGAGGTGTCAGGAATGTCACAACCTCCACTGCAGTACTGCAGGCAGCTCATCTGCATCTGCTTGAGGAGGTAAGGATTTAGATTAGAACCAAGGAGCTGAAACAAGTTCTACCTGTGCTGTTGGTTCCTTCCCTCACATGCCGCAGACTGAAATGCAGCAGCAAGAGTGTTTAAAGGATTAGTTCAACAACAGCTATTTTGTTCCATTTCCATCTAATTAAATTTCTGCAATTAAGTTCAGCATGTAAGGAGGACATGCTTGCATATCTAGCAGTTCTCTTCTCAGCATCTTTACCTTTTTTTTCCCCTTTGGGAAGGAACCACGATCCTCCCACTGAGCCAGGAGAAACAGTCCATTTTGCAGAGAACCTCAGTGCTGGGCACGCTACAGCACTATGTGAAGTAAGAGAATACAGGCTCTGTCCCAAAAATGCAGGCACTGGCACTTTGCAGCATCCATTTCATTTCTACTCCAAACAGCTCTGACTTTGGAATTCTTTATTTGGTTTGAAGTACACAGATCCTATGTTAGAGTTCTTCTGGGTCTCTTCCCAAGCTTGGGGGTGGATAACCTGCCTGGGTGGATAACCAGTAATCCAGAACATCACTAGATATAAGATCATGGTCAACTGAAGCTACTCTAAGATGGTAGAAGTTGGCAGCATCAGATATGACTGCAGGGACATGCTTTTCCCCTCTAACCCTCCTGCTGTAGGCTCCTGGAATACATGTGAAGCAATAAGACTTCCATCAAAATACAGGGGAGGGAGAAACAACGTCTTCCCATGGTGTGTGCCCTTCAGAACTGAAGTCTCTTCAGGTGCTGCCCAACCCCACCACTGAGCTAGAATTGCACTGCATCATGCAGCACCTGGAGAGATGCCACGGCTTTCCATCAGGCTGGGGCAGATGAAGCCGTTATCCTGTAGAAGTGCTCTTTGCAGCACAGAGAAGAGGCACAGCTAGTATCGTCACTGTAAGGCAAGGTGGGGCCACCCTTCAGCCAGGACTAAGTCTTGGACAGTTTTTTTTTCATGTCTCTCTTCTGAAGGGTCTGCATTTCCTCCTTCACTCTAAAGAAGCTAGTTCCTCCAGGAGCTGCTCTTTCTCCTGCTGCAGCTCCTGCACCCGCTGTTTGTTCTGCTCTAGTCTGTCCTCCAGCCACTGAAGGAGTGGCCCGCTGATGGCAGACATCTGGCTGCAGAGGTTCTTTGTGAACACTGGAAAGAGCAAGAACATGTCACACCAGTGCAAACACAGAAAAGACTCGGTGTGCTACAACAAACCCAAAGCCAAGAGCGCTAGAGACAGCCAAGGAAACCCTCCAACACCCTGGCCAAGGCAACCAGACATCCCCACAGGACAGTCAGAATCAGCAGCTTGCTGAACAGGGAAATAAACTACTTCAGTCTGACTTTAGGCACCCAGGGGAGGGATGACAGCCCTACAACAGTGATCTACTTATAAGTCATCACTGATGTGACTTAATTTCTAAATTCATAAGCAAAGAATGCCTGATTTATTGAGCAGGTTAGAAGGGACAGTGGGGTATATATCCTGGAAGAGAAGCAGGATTAGGATTCATCCTGTCACTGGCAAAAGCAAATATGTCATATGCACGTAATGTACAGGAACTGCCAGGAGCTGCAAGCATACCTATGGATCAGCCAGATGCTACTTTAAGACTTGTCAAATCCAAAATCACCTT